TTTTTTCCAACATGCACCATTCTTACAAAAAATGATATTTCGCAATTCCCCTACGTACTTCTATAGAAAAACTTATATATTTTTCAAAAATCTTTGAATTTTTGTTCCAGCTCAGAAATTATAGGAGCTTCGATTCCGCCCGTTGGACGCCTTCCACAAAAAGGCACTTTGGAGCAATGGCTCTGGTGCCGCCATTTTGGCAATAAATAATTAATAAAAATTTTTTTTATACTTTAATATATAGATAATAAATAGAATTAAACCGATTTTCATTTATGATTATTGTATTTCTGAAAAAAATTATCAAAAATTGGCTTTTTTTTTTTTGGGACTCTAGAGTGGCGTTACCCCTTAACCCGTGTTATCTAATGATAATATTTACGAGATATTAATTATAAGATTTAACAACTCACCGAACAAACATAGTTCGTAGCCGCACTGGCGACGGTTATCGGCAAAGAAGAACCGCTGCCATGAAGCGCTTTGACAAAAAACGTGCATCCTATGGTGTTGCTCACAATCATAGAGACGAGAAGTACTCCTTTTAGAAGCAACGATGTCTACAAAAAAAGCATGTAAACATTATAATGCTTATATTGTTATAGCGTACGTTATATTTATTATACTATACAGTTTTAAATTTCTAATGTTTTTAATCTAGTTTCAATTTTTCAATTTTCAATCATCAATCTCTCTTGCGTATTTATCAGTTATTTGTCTGCTTCAGAATGCATCATATAATAACATACAAATATTGTTAATACAAAACAAGACAATTTTACAGAAACACATTTCCGCGTGTCAATTTACATTGCCATAAGGACGTCGTTGTGAATATTATAAATATCCGAAATTCCTAAATCAATTAAATTCTGTTTCTTCTAGAAATTAAATTTAGAAATAAAAAAATCCGCGGTTTATTTCATGTTTTTACCGGCGATTTGAATCGGTCCCGTCAACTCACCAACGACGACGCGTCAGCGCCACCGGCAAGCTTGCCCAGAAGACTACCGGCGGTCGCAAAAATTCCAGAGAAGACCGCGAGATACGCCCCACCGCCGCGTGAGCCGCGTCCTTCCATATCGGTAGACAATTAAGACAATGCACGACGTGGGGACGTCCGGACTCTGGAGTCCGGGTGTCGGCGACGTCGTCGATGTCGATTGCGCTATATGTAACCCAAAGGCAGGGTTGAAGGCGCCTATGCTCCTAACCAAAGAGGAGGAAACCCCTCTTCCCCCCTCCCCCTAAAAAAAATGTCGACGTCGAGATCGGCGGGAGACGCTTCAAAAGATCGCTCGCCGACACGATACCGGCGAGGCTACCGAAAGCCGAGAGTGGAGGACGCGCGGAGAACCGGCGTCTTACCACGAGCGATAAGATTCGCTGTTATCTCCCGGATCCGAAATCGAGGGACTCCGGGGAGTTTCCTCGTCGCTCGTCGCTCCGCAATATATGGTATACATACACGTATGGTATACTTCGATATGCGACGCGGAGGCCGATATCGAGCGCGATCGCACTATTGACTATGGCGGCACAGCCGCGTGTGACGGCGGATCGGGCGGATGAGTCATCTGGCAAGAAGGGGCTTGATTCTTGAAATCATTTGCAAGAGAAGCGTATGCGCAAATGTTGTTCTTACAGAAAAATTGCAAGTCGATTGGCTGTCGCATAGCTTTAAAACCAATCAACTTGCAACGTTTCTGTAAGAGCAGAATTTTTGCATACGTTTCTCTTGCGAAGAGCACGCGCCTTCGCGTGTCGATGACGACGCGGACGCGCACGAATCGATCGTGATTTATGGAAATGGAACGAACGGAAGGGGAGATTT